AGAGCAACCTCAATGGGAGATACTTATGTTAATATTTTTAATTTAAATTTTGTGAGATTTGAAGTTAAGAAATGAAATAGGTGTTTTTAAATTTATTGTCTTCCAATGGTAAGAGCCACGGAATTCTTCAATTTTTTTTTATCTTTTTTTTTAAAAATAGATAATATTATAATTTTTTTTTATTTTTGAAATAAACATAAGTTTTAAAAACATTACATAGAAGCAAATAAAAATATAAAAAAACATACAAGAAAATAAATACATTAATTATGTTGATTAATTCCATACTTTTGCCATATCTATAAAAAATTGTATGGATTGTAATAGCTACAAGTAATCATAATCATGTAATACATATGTGATTGATATTTTAATACACCTTTTGGTTCGTAACTTCGTATGATTGACTTCTTTATGTACAATTGTTTAAAGATAGAAGCCGAGTGAAATTATGAACAGCAGAAGGAGGCAAGCAAAGGCAAACGACAATGCTTTGGTCGATGCCAGATTCGACACCTCCTTGAGGCAACAACACACAAACCTGTGGCGTAGGCCTCAAGTCAATTGGTCCTGCATAAACCGGTTTACCCCATCCAAAATCCTGCAAACCATTGTCGTCTCAGATCTTGAAATGGCTTACCGTTGAAGCATCGATTGTTTTTGACCTGAAGATGGTTGCGTACTTGGTAAGGGTGAAGTCTCTGTACTTGGCAGGGTTTTCATCAGAATAGCGATATCAACGAGAGAGAAGAGAAAGAATAAATGTGATTTTGGCTTTTTTATAAAAAAAAAAATATTTTTACCATCAACCAATCTACGCTTGCCACGTCACCGTCTCTTCCCCTTAATAAGGTCTCCTCTTTGAGAAACGGTTCTCCATATTTAACATGATTATGCATTTATTTTTTATCACATTTTGCCTAAAGAACCTCTTTAAAACCCTGCGTTGTGGCTGCTCTTAGTAGTTACAAAAAAAGATGGAGATGATCAATTATACTCGATAGCCACAAGTTCTTAGGATTAAAACAAATTTAGGAAGACATTCCTAATATTTCAAGAGATCTTCCTAAAATTTAAGAATGTCTTCCTAAATTTTAAGAATGTCTTCCTAAATATTATGTAATCCTTCCTAATTTGGATTTTTAAAGTCTATTTGTCTTCCTAAACATTATATTTTGCTTTAATGTATAAAAAATTTCTCTATTTAATGAGTGGTAATGAATTGAAATGGAGCTGAGGCAGTGTGATATTTGTATAAAAATAATCTGTCATTTCATGTTGTAAAAATGAAAATAAGTAAAATTTGTTTATAAAAGTTTTTCTAAACTTTTTTATGAATGTAATCCTGATTTTCAAAGGACCTTCCTAAACATCATTTAAATGCTTCCTAAAAATTAAATAAATGTATTTTTTAATCCTTTTTATTATATATTTGCATCAATGGATCACATATCACTCCATTATTGAGAGGTAATAATTTCATTTGTGTGCACACATCCTGACTTATTACCAATATTAAGTCTCATGTTTTGCCTATTTTTATTTTTGTTGTTACAATTTCCTCAAACAAAAAGCTGGACTTATTGGTCACGAGTTCTATTACATTACCAAAGATCTCGGTTTAAAATCTTGTTAGGGTGTGTATGCCGTCTTTTTTTTTTTGTTTATAAGGAGATCTACGTTTTATGAAGGTCATCATGAAGTTCAACATATCTTTCATGAATTGCATGGAAGTCTTCCTGAATTACACGGAAACCCTCCACCATCGGACCCAATCCTCCATCGACGAGCTCCTCCTCCGTTTAACTCCATCGTCTCTCTCATCAACACGAGAAGCAACCCAACAACTGAGGTAATACACTTATTCATATCCATTGTTAAATTCAAAACTCGTTGGCATGAAGTGGAGTTGTTGTGGATTGTATTTGTTCCCTATTGAACTATTAACATTGTAGATTTGGTTTATCCGATTTTTCTTATCCTCATTTTCAATTAGGGATATGAGTCAAATTGGGTGGACTATTTCTCAGAATGTGTGCATTGTAACAGTTCAATTGAATTGAATCGTAGGAATGTATTCTGAATTTAGTAGTGTGTTGTAGTACAACTGGTAGAACTTGGTATAACTATTCGGGCACAACTTGGTATAACTATAATGGTAAAATTTGTAGTACAAATGGTACTCTTTGGTATAACTTGGTATAACTATGAACACGACAGAGATTATAATGTTAGTTATCATATTCTATTTCAGGCCACATTGAATAAAAACCATCGAAAAATCATAATATATGATTATGGGGGATATTATGCAACAAGAGAAAATGAACCAAGATGGAATTCAAGAGATAAAGTTCATCAATCTCTTATAATGGAGACAGAGGAGGTCACTTATTCTGCAGTGGTGAACAAGATATGCCGGAAGGCGAATGTTGATGAAACAACGACTGAGCTGAAATTGAGTCACGTTCCAAAATCAGTGTAGCCTAAGAGACCAATATACATATTTGATGATGATGATGTTATGTGTTATATGGATATGAATGAAGATCATTTCGAAGTTTTGCATGTCGAAGTCGTAAATCAGGGGTATGAGAAGAGTCGAGGAAGTGTAGGTTGTTCACTCAATGAGGAGCATATTTCAAGTAGTAGAGCGACAAATGGGACCATGTTCCTTGATGAAAGCGAGCCGTTTGAAAGTCATGAGATGGTGGAAAATAGTGATGGGAGAGATGGGAACATGATTCGTCATGAAGAACAGTCCGAAGAACGAGCAATAGTAGAAGATGGCACACATGTTGCTGAGATCACACCTTCTAAGATCACACCTGCTGCAGAGATTACACCGGTTGTAAAGCGTGAGTGGGAAGATGGTTTGGATGTGACTATCCGGCAAGAATTTGAAAGCAAGCAAGTAATTAAAGATTTGGTTGAAAAAGCTGCGCACAAGAACTGTTTTGAGTTTGTTATAATAAAGTCGGATCCAATGTTGTTTGTGCTTAAATGCTCAGAATTTAGAAAGGGTTGCAAGTGGGCTTTACGAGCAGCAAGGAATGGGAATACAGACAGTTTCTCGGTCAGAACTTACACTAAGATACATACATGCTTACGGTCAGAAACAAGTACAATGAGTAAAAAATGGAGAGGCACATCTCATTTAGTTGCATCTGTTTTGCGTGAAGATTTCACTGGTCTGATAGACACTCCAACTCCAAAAAATCTGATTCCTTTGGTTCAATCAAAAGTTGGTATCAAAGTGTCATACTCAACCGCAAATAGAGGGAAAAAGCTAGCTGCAGCTGACCTTCGTGGTACCGCAGAGGATAGTTATAAGTTGGTTTATTGTTATATGCACATGTTGGAGAAGATGAATCCAGGTACAGTTTCATTTGTTGAATTGGATGAAGCCCAGAGGTTTAAATATTTGTTTTTCGCCTTGGGGGCGTGCATTGAAGGCTTCAATTCCATGAGAAAGGTGATCATTGTGGATGCAACCAGTATTAAAAATGTATATGGTGGAGTACTAATCGTGGCTTCAGCTCAAGATCCGGATCACCACCATTATCCAATTGCATTTGGTGTAGTTGACAGTGAGAATAATGCAAGTTGGACTTGGTTTTTCAGTAAATTGAAATCAGTTATACCAGATTGTACTGAGTTGGTCTTCTGTTCTGATAGACATCAAAGCTTGATCATGTCAATAAGTACGGTGTATCCGTTGTCTCACCATAGATATTGTATTTATCACTTGTCTCAGAATGTTAAACTGAGCTGTAAGAACGTGAACAGAGATGTAGTTGCGACGACGTTCATGCAAGTTGCGAAGGCTTACACCGAGTCTGAGTTTGAGAAACTCTATCATGTCTATGTGGATCGTTCCGGACAATGTGCGTGCTTTGGTTGTCTTTCCTAAGTTTTATGTCATAAAAAGAGGAAGGAAACCAACAAAGAGGATTAAATCAACAGGAGAACATGGACGCAAGAAGAAGAAATCTACCATCGCGAGCTGGTTTGAGAGTCAAGGTTCCCGAACTTGATTGATTGTATTTTGATGTAATATCCTATTTGAACAATTAGGTACAACTTGTTTTTGTTATGGTACAACTTGTTTTTGTTATGGTACAACTTGAATAATTTGAATTTGATTTTCGGACTTTCTTAAGTCAACTTGTTTTAATGATATTTAAATTGATATATATTTTTAAATAAAAATCTATATTGTTATATTTAAAAAATATTTCAATAATCGAAAATAAGGATTTATTTTAATTAATTGAATAATCAGGATTTATTTGAATTTTTTATAAACATGAATTGGAATTAAATATAGAAAACTTAATAAATATAAATATATTGAATTATAATTTCATCATGTTATCCAATATATATATAATAAGGAATCATGATTTTTATTATTATACTTTACTATAGATATCATCATATTCTAAGTTTATCAAGATATACCTTATACATTAAGGGTCACTTTCTCATTGCAAACAACATATAATTAGAAAAGCCGAGAAACAAATCTTTTCAAAAATATTTAGGCATGTACATGTGGTATATGTACCTCAATTAATGAAAATCATGTGTACAACTAAAAATATTTATTTTAAACATTGGATAACTAATTAGAACAAAAAAAATGAAAAAGTACAACTTGCCAAAACGAGTACAACTTGTAACTTTGGTACAACTAGTGCATTTTGGCGGCTACACTTGTGTATTTTGGCGGCTACACATGTCTAATATGGATCACGTGTTTGTTGTGTTTGGTCCTTTTTTATTTTTTATTTTTATTTTTTATTTTTATTTTTTATTTTTACTCTTCCGATTTTTTTTTTAAAATTCAATTTCAAATTGAAATTGAAAGAGGGAATTGGGAATCGGGTATAGCTAGGGTTTATTGTCTGTCCTCTCTCTCGACTCTTCACTTCTTCTCCTTCTTCCTTTCTGGTTTGCAATTTCGTCTTTTTATTTTGGGTTTGCGATTTCTGAGAATGAGTTGCGAATCTGGAGCATCGGGAATCTTATGTAGTAATTCTTCCAACCGACGAAGGTTCCCTGGAATTCCCAAAAAGTGTCATTGTGGATCACCAATAGTTGACATAATCTCTCGATCCATACCAAATCCGTGTCGTCGCTACTACCGGTGTGAATATGCATATGATAGAAGGGTAAAGCTGTTTTATCAGTATTGTATTTGCGATTTAGTTACCAAATTTTCCTTCTAAATTTTTATTTTTTATGTAGCTTGTGAACGATGGACATGTCTTTAAGTGGGTTGATGAAGCACTGGTGGATGAGGTAGAACAATTGGATTTTCAAGTTGGTGTTCTAGAGGAAGAAGTTACTCTTATGAAAATGGAAAGCATGAGAGATATGAAGGAAATTAAGAAAATGAGTATACTCGTTTTCTGTGGTTGTCTTCTTGTGATAGGGCTGGGAATATGGTACAATCAAGTGTAACTTGTTCTTCGTAATACAACTAAGTATAACTTGTTCTTCGTAGTTGGACAACTAAGTATAAAACTACTTAGTTGATTTCCTTGGTTTGATTGTAACTTTCCCCTTTCCTTATTGGCTTAGCTTTGTTGGTAACTTAGAACTTACTTTGTGTATTCGGGTTGTAATTTTTGGTTGTAAAACTAGTATTTTGTAATGGTACAACTACTATGTAGTTTTACCAAGTTGATCATTTGAATGCAGTTGTGTAATGGGAACTCAGAAACTTAACAAACAACATATAACTTACTAGAATAGTTCAAAACACATAAAAAAAGACATCAATCCATAAACCAATACAAATAGTTCAAATATAAAATGACTCTAAAACCCAACTTTAGAATAGATCATCAATTATCCTTGTTCGCATTTTGTCTTGTCTGAATAGGACTCCTTATGACCATAGTCGTTTCTTCTTGCTTATGATCTTCACCCTTTTACCTTGGTGAGCATCAACAACTTCTTCTCTTTCCCTCTTTTCTCCTTTCTCCTTAGCTTGTTCTTTCTCGCCATGTTCCATCTCAACATCTTCCTCTCGGCCTTTTTCCGTTGTCCCTAGTTGTTCTTTCTCTTCTTCAACTGTACCAAGTTGTTCTTTCTCTTCATCAGTTGTACCAAGTTGTGCTTTCTCTTCATCAACCTTCTCCTTCTCGGTCTCGGGTTTCTCAGACTTTTCCTTCTCAGTTTGTTCCTTCTCAGCATGCTCCTTGTCAGACTTATCCTTCTCAGCCTTAGCCCTCTCAGCCTTATCAGCTTGCTCCTTGTCTACCTTATCCTTCTCGGCCTTAGCCCTCTCAGCCTTATCCTTTTCGGCCTTATCCTTCTCGGCCTTAGCCCTCTCAGCCTTATCCTTTTCGGCCTTATCCTTCTCGGCCTTAGCCCTCTCAGCCTTATCCTTTTCGGCCTTATCCTTCTCGGCCTTAGCCCTCTCGGCCTTTTCGGCCTTATTCTTCTCGGCCTTTTCGGCCTTATCCTTCTCAGCCTTTTCGGCCTTATCCTTCTCGGCCTTAGCCTTTTCGGCCTTAGCCCTCTCAGCCTTCTCGGCCTTAGCCCTCTCAGCCTTCTCGGTCTTAGCCGCCTTAGCCCTCTCAACCTGCACCTTCTCAGCATGCTCCCTTTCAGCTTGCTCTTTCTTAGCCTGCTCCCTCTCAACCTTATCCTTCTCAGCCTGCTCCATCTCAGCTTGCTCCTTGTCACCTTCATTCATATCTCCATTGCCACCTTCATTCATACCTTCATTCGTATCTCCAACACCTTCATTCATATAATAATCATTTTCACATGAGGCCCATCTCACATAATCTCACATATGATTCAACAGATTTAACTCTGTTATCTAGACTATCAACCTTCTCAATAATTTCCTTAAACCCTTGCTTCACTTGTTCTTCTACCTGAACCAATCTAGCTCCTAGCTGAGCCAAATTCACCGGAGCCACTGGGTTCACATCTTCCAGACTTACATTTTCCAAAATCACATTTTCCAGATTCACATCTTCCGGATTCACATCTTCCGGATTCACATCTTCTGGATTCTCCCGGGTGGCCAAATCTTGGTTGTAAAACTCTTCAAACCATATTGACTTCTCTTCATCAATTAAACACTTGGTCCAACCAACAACAACGGGATCATCTACATCATTATAGCGACTCTCTTCATCCATGACACGACCTAAAAGACGTTTCTCACGTGATGATGGAGTCAAAATACTTTCAATATCCTATGAAAATAAAACAATATAATGTCAAACCAACCCAGTAATACCAAAAATGAATGAATAGGATAAGTATGGGACTTGCTAACCTTAGTTGTACCAAGTTTGTCATAAATTTCCTTCAATGAAAACCCATTTTACTTGCTTTAAATTTCATCTTGCACATCCGAGGACAATGACGATGTGCATGTGCGTTACTAACACCTTCTCGGAAATTTTCCTTAAGAACATGAATTGCCTCAAAAGCAAGAACCTACACACAACACAAAATCGTGGACTTAAAACTCAATTATACCAAGTTATACTAAGTTGTACATTTTCATAATTCAAGAATTACCTCCAACGGAATGACGAAACTAGGAAAGACCCATTGGTTTGTGCTCAAAACTCCACCAAAGTGGTTCATACAATGAAAGATTTCCTTCATGTTCTCATCAAAAGCCAAACGACCCCAAGGGAACGTTTTACACATGTCCAAATCATCAATAGCCCTAAGAAAGAATGGCTCTACGGATGGTGCTTTTTTCCCTGGCTTCTTCTTCCCTATGATCACACTACACAAGAAGTAGAGGACCGCCATCTTCACTCGATCAGGAGAAGCTCTCTTCATCGATAAAAGTTTTGCTTGGACATCATCATATCTTATTGTTGTGCCAACACTAAAATGCTTACCAACAAACTCATTACTGCCCAGAGTTTCCATGTCTCGGGGATACTCATGGCAGTATAAGCCAGAAATCAGTGCCATTTCTTTGAGAGAATATCTGATGGGAGTACCATTTACTATGAACCAACATTCATTTTTCTTCTCTAAAGACGCCGTCCGGAGAAGCAACATCCACATACCCATCAATTTGTGATTGGCATCATTCGGCATATGGAAGAAGTGTTTGAACTGTGGGTGTCCTAGGAACCAGTCCAACTCATGGGACTTAAGGTGAGCTCTCAAGAAGTCCACTGTCCTTGTGATATAACACTTAGCAGATAGCTTGAATGGCTTCATGTACTCGGATCTATTGAAGTACATGTTCACCGGTTGCATTACTTATGTTCCCTCCCCGGATTCCTCCTCGGACTCCTGCAAAACAACATAGTTATACTAAGTTTTCCCAAGTTGTACCTTTTGAATTTCGAATTGAAATAAACTAGTTATACTAAGTTCTCCTAAGTTGTACCTTTTCAATTTCTTAGTAAAAAAACGAGTTCGCACAAGTTGTACTATTCTATCCAAGTTGTACATACCGTTGAATCCCCAGAATCTGATTCCGGATTTGACTCTGTTTTTTCTGAATCATCTCGACGAGTCTCATCTGTTATGAGCCAAAGCTCTTGCTTTTGCTCTTGTTAATGGACCCTCTACTCTCTCCGTAATGAATAGTTTAGAAAGAATAACCTAAGCTTAGAGAACAAGAAGATTGAAAACAAGCTTCCCTTTAACCCAAGCCTCTCTTAGAGAATTAGGTTAATTGTTGGAAGTTAATTCTTATTGATGATTTTGAGAGTCTTATATAGACTCTTACAAACCGACTTAAGCATTGTGAAATAAGTAAACTATCTAAATCTCTTAGTTTAGCATAAAAAGGAAATACTTAAAAGAACGATTAAGAAGCTTCTCAACCATATAGATGATACTTGATGTGATATCGTGTATCATTACTCCCCTCCTCAACTTGAAGCTTGTCCTCAAGCTTCAGCTCGTGGTGCATCCCCAACAGCTTCTGCGCGGCGTCTCACATATTCCACCATGTCTTCGTCTTCAATTGGTTCATCTTCCTCATTAGCTCCATCGTTGACTACCGTGATTTGAAAAAGGACTGGTTTGCAAACATGCCCTCGTATGAAGTTTTCATCACAGTTAAAGCATAGACCTTTTGCACGTCGTTCCGCCATCTCTGCGGTGGTCAATTTCTTCAAAAACAGTTGTGGAGGAGCTTGTTTCACTTCTGCTGGTGGAGGCAACAAAGCGTCTGCGTCTTTTCCGTTTTGGCTCCCACCATTTCCTGTCATTATTGGTCTAGCAAACGGGACTGAGTATCGAGGTGTCGGAGCCAGATGTCCTCCAAAAGTTCACATCCGCTTGTCACCTTCGATCTTGTATTCATTATCTCGGGCATATTCCATAGCTTCAAAGATTGTTTCAGGACGGAGATACTCGACTTCCTTCCTTAAACTATCAGTTAGTCCAGCACAAAACTGCCACAGCTGCTGAGCTCCGGTTAGTCTTGTTTGCCTTCCCAAACACTCTTCAAACTGGTTACAGTACTCATCAACAGACCCTATGTGTCTTAAATTGCTCAATTCTCCAACCGGATTAACAGCATCAGCCCTTCCGAATATGCTTTTGCAAATGCGTTTGAACTCTAACCAGCCTAGTTTGTGTGTGATAAGTCTTCGCAGATTGGCGTTCCAATGGTAGGCCTTTCCTGTTAACACAAAGGTGGCCTGTCGTACTCTTGCGTCATCATCAAATATGCCTTGGTCATAGAAATAATCTTCACACTTCTGCAGCCATTCGATTGCATTAGGGGGTGTTATTGGTTAGTGATTTATAGAGAGTTTTAAAGACTTCAAATGTTATGTAAAATCAGTTGTTATTCAATCAAGATTTTATTAAACTCTTTTAAAGTTTGGTGTTATTGGTTAATGATTTTTAAAAACTCATTTAAAATCTTTACAAATATGGGGTTATTGGATTCAGAATTATATAAAGTCATTAAAAGTTTTGAGTTATTCAATTAAAACAAAAGAATCTTTGATTGTTAATGAATTAAATTATTATGTTATTGGTTTATGATTTTAAACACTTTTCTTTACAAAACAAAGTCTTAGAAAGTATTATCAAAATAGAGAGATTGTTGGAAAGAGTTTACAAGACTATAGAAATCAAGTCAACAAGATTACAAAAAAACTCTCTAACAATCTTTTAGATGATTTCATTTATATACAATCTATGATTTTATTAAAGTCATCTAAATTTTTTATAAGTCACAAACCAATACCACCCCCTTAGTTTTTCCATCGTAAGGTGGAAATTCCATCTTAAATGGGCTTACTACATAGTCCTCGGTTCCTCTGCCTCCCCCTTCTTTTCCCTCAGAATCATTCTTCCCATTATTGTTCTTTTTGTAACATCGAGGATCACCTGTTTCAGACCCAGATTTCTCCTCGAGTGGCATAATTCCAAATTGTCGTACGGGCCACTCTCCTCCTCCATCAGTTAGGCGATGTCCCTTGTCCATGCTTACAGAACATTTCGCCCAGGGACCTCGTGATTGAACCAGCCTCTGTTCGCCATCGCCTGTTTTTGGCCGAGAAACTGATGCAGGTTCCTTAGTCTCGTCGATCTCACCGCTGGACCCAGCAGATAGAGTGAGAAACTTTTCCTGAACTTCTGCTCACTCCAACACCACTTCTTTCTGAAATTTTTGTTGTTCGGCACGAAGCTCTTCCACCAGAGCTTTGGTTTGCGCCCGTTCCTCCCGCTGTGCAGCAACAGTCGCTGCGAGGTCAGCTTGGTGGGAAGTCGAAGCTTCCTTGAGCTCACCTATGGCGGCGTGCATCGGAGCAACAGTCTTTTCCATGTCAGTCCTCCAGTCGTTCCTCATCTCTTGAATCATCTGTTTGAGCTGCTCAAACTGTGACGGTGTCATATCGTCGTCAACCATATAATCGATTGGCTCTGATACCAAGATGTTATGAGCCAAAGCTCTTGCTTTTGCTCTTGTTAATGGACCCTCTACTCTCTCCGTAATGACTAGTTTAGAAAGAATAAGCTAAGCTTAGAGAACAAGAAGATTGAAAACAAGCTTCCCTTTAACCCAAGCCTCTCTTAGAGAATTAGGTTAATTGTTGGAAGTTAATCCTTATTGATGATTTTGAGAGTCTTATATAGACTCTTACAAACCGACTTAAGCATTGTGAAATAAGTAAACTATCTAAATCTCTTAGTTTAGCATAAAAAAGAAATACTTAAAAGAACGATTAAGAAGCTTCTCAACCATATAGATGATACTTGATGTGATATCGTGTATCATCATCTTCTTCTACGATTGCATCTGTTGGCTTTTCGACTTCACCTACTAGATTTGTTTCTTTGTTAAAGCTTGCGTTCTTTGTACGCACCATTATTCTCTTCTCCTTCACACAAAACCAACAACCGCTAATTACAACATACTCGAGTAATAAACGAAATCAACACCTAAATTGACTAAACCTATATCGAGAACACCTAAATTAATAACATTCAAGCGGATCTAACTTAAAATACCCAAAGAATTAAAGGTTTTGACTTACCCTATCTCGGGTTGTCCTTAGTTATACTCGAACTCTTTGTGATTTTTAGTTTTTTCAAAAACGATGAAGAGGAAGACAAAGAGGTTAAAAGATCCGATGCATATACGATAGTGATATGGGTTTTCGGATATAGACTGGTTGGATCTGTAATTGTTTAATTTAGTGAGGATAAGTTTGTGTTTTAACCAATTTTTGATTTTTTTAATTAATTTTTTTTTTTCCATTTGGTCAAACCCTTACAAGAATAGAAGAAGGAGTCAAAGGGTACAAGAGATTTTAGTCCTTAAGATATCCAAAACCAACTTGCATCTTGTGTGTCATCAACAGTTACATCACGTAGCTTGGAGAAATTTTCAATGCCCAACGAGGACATTCAATTATCTTCATTAGAAAAAGACTACAATTCAAGAATTATTCCTGAATTTAAAAACGCGACTCAAAAACACATCAATACACAAGCAACAAGCAATAAACATTACATAAGCAACAAGAGATTAGAGTGATAACATGGTATAAGTGGCTCACTAGAGTTCAAACCAAAACATTTTAATTAGAACCTATAAAAGTAACATGGGATTATGTGAAACAATTTATCTACTTCAAGAACATAGAGTTTTAGGACTTATCACAAAGACACTTATACTAAACTTATCCTGCAACAATAAAACGACCAAGTTAAGTAGACCAAAGCTACGATTAGAAAATATAGCATTAATTTAACCAAAGTCTAGCATCCCCATTGTATCCAACAAAACTAGCATCACATGTTCTACGGAGAAGAAGACCCACTATAGTAAAATAGTTTAGGAAGACCTAATCATAACATTAAGAAGAAAAACCACAACAAAGAATCTACTGAAATTTCAGTAAAAAACATAAGAATCTACTGCAATTTCAGTTATAAACTTAAGCATATACTCAATTTTGCACCTAATTGGTTTAGTGTTGGACATGTACTTTAGATAATACACCTTGCCTCAGGGAGTCTCTTCCACACACCAACAACGAAGTACAAGACAATGCAATATAGTAGAAATTTCTTTTCTGAACCCTATATACAAACGTTTCGATATTATCGTTACTAGGCACCATATGAATCAAAGTTAAAATCAAAACTATGAAATTCAAAGTTTACACGGCACCATGTATTGGACCGAGAACAAGAGTGGTAGAGTAACCAACAGAGAGATAAAATACCACTGATTCCTTACTTAAATTATAAGATGCTAACTCCAATTCTCCATACATCCATTATAAACCATCTTCGATCACTGCAAAAATTTAATCAGTTGATCCAAATTACAGCAAAAGATCCACTTAGTTTGACGAAAGGCAAAAATTGAAAAGCTTTCAAAACCAGAAATTGAAAGCACCCTAGCAGACGACTAAATTTTATGTCATAACTAGATGAAGTGAGGCAAGGTGTAACAGATCTCTGGATGAATTGAGAAGATGGTGACTAAGGGGAGATGGATGAAGCCCGTCCATGTAATAAGTCGAATCTAAGAAAGGTGATGAGTCGGAATGAAACGGCGAGATCACAAAGTGAAACAACGGTATATCGGCGACAAGATACCGGCAAAATGATGAGAATCCAGCAACCCCTTTATCTGATCTTTTGTTGTGATGTGAAGCAAAGAGACAAGCGGATCGCAACATCAAAGGTTTGAGAAAGATGAGGGTGTTTTAGTCATTTGAATTAATGAAAATGGGCCTATGGTATTTGTGGCCACAAAACATAAAATCATGGTATCCATGAGAATCTCCCTAAATTAATCTTTTACAATGGAACAACAAGAAATGATCTCATGATTTTATAAGCCATTGATCTTATTGTAAAAATAAAAGAAAAGCATAACCACTAGGGTATGTCACAATGGACGATAAGATCATATTATTTCCGATCTAGGTCGACTCGTATTTGCTTGACCGTTTCAAGAACAAAAAAAACTACGTTATCACACAATCGTCTCCATTCAAAATATTTTTTAAAGTGATTTCGTTATATACAACTAGCAAGTAAAAAAAAACACCTACAAACACGCGATGAATAAACTAAAACAAGATTCTCCGCGTTTCATATTTAATTTAGAAAATCTTAAGCATGTTCAGTTTGTTCCGCTAATTATCATTATATTATTTCATCATTACATTAAACATACCACTTGAGCCTTGTGTAAATCAAGTCAATTTTTGTATCAGAAAAATCAATTTATTTTTTATTTTTGGAGGAAAAGAAAATCTAGTCAAGTCATAAAAACATTTCTATACACAGTTTGACAAAGATAAACATGAAAGCTATTAATGGTAAAAATATCCAATGGAATAAGAAATGAATA